TACATTCTCTTGTCGATGAGAAATATCGCATAGTTTCAATGTTTTGTGTACTTTTGAATTTCGGAATGTTAAGTACACCAACGATTCATTAAGCAACTGCTTGAAAAACTCAATTGTGGGATCACAGACAACGTACACTGTTCAGGAGTTCCAAATACTGCACCCTCTCAGGGGGCGAAGATGTGACACCGGTATTCCAGTCTACGTCTTTAAATATAAACTCATTTGGATATCTCTCGAGATGGATGTTGGACGACATTGTAAACAGTGGACGACTTGGATGGTCAGGGCTCTGTAGTAATTCATACATTGGCTGATGTATGATTCCAGTGATTGCGTTTTTCACATAAGTATTTAAACGAAGGCATTTGACTATCGTGATGACCATTCTTTGTAGATGTTCCAAAACCTTGCGATCGCATTGTAGTCACGGCTCTGAAGCTCGAGTGGCATACTCAACTATACGCTGTTAAAGAACACGGAAACAGCCTTGGCTCGAAATCTATCAAAGACACGCGTAAGCAAACCGACACCTAGGAGATACGGACGACGCCCCGGAACAACTAATTGCACAGCTTCGATCCTATTGAACGAAGAAACCAGGATCCTTCTCATTCGAGACATCTGACAGTGGTTGATATTCGAGGAACTATGAAAGTGTTTATTATGGTCAATCCAACTAGTATATCTTTTTCAATCAGATGCACTATGTGAATAATCCGGTTATTCATCACTTTTATCCTACCTAAGTTAAAATATCATGTGGCTACAATCTGCTCACGTAAAATTTCTTGACATGAAAGAGGTAAAAAAATATTCCCAGGCACGTAAAAATCGAATTTCAAAGGCCCGGTTTCCTTACAACCGATGTCCCACCGACCGTCGTCAAAATCGAGAAGTCGTGTTTCTGACTTACTCGACTACAAGAAGCAATTATATACGTGGATACCGTTTTACAAATGTTGTCTGTGGTGTGGTGTAATGCGGTACACGTTTCTGTGCACGGGACGCAAGTCGTTTGTCAAAATTCGGTTCTTCAGGAAATGCTCTCAATATACTTTCTCTAGTCCACTGGACACAAATCACATTTGGGAAGGGAATCATTGGCGTTTATACATAAACCTGAAGCAATCAAATTGTTCAGGTCGGCAAAATTAAAGTCCTGTACGGACCAATCATAAAAATGCAATTGATGCAGAAAAACAAAACGATCAATTCAAACAACATTACAACACATCCTTCTTTTGTAAGTTCTTCATTATGATCCTGCTTGGTTTATGCGTCCACTTTGTGTTCGGGATGGAGATTGTGCGGTCATACTCGTCGTTGATATTTCTCGCTGCGGTTCTTGTACGTTGATTGCAATATCTTCCTGAACGGTATTAGGATCGTCTCTTTCTTCGTCTTCGTCTTCATTCTCTTCCATTTTCCAAATGAACTCGTATTATCGTATTATCCGTTGACCACAGCGTACTAGGTACGATTTTTTTGTTGCTCGCGATATCACTTCTCCCTTTACCCACACCCTTTCCGTTGGCTCCAATGGTTGTATCCAAACCGTGTCTCCTGATCTGAGAGAGAGCACAGAGGTTTACTGCCGCAGTCGTAGTACCTCTTCTGTAGCGCCATGCGTTTCCTTAGCCTCGACTGTATGATTATTGATGGCGTAGTCTGTGGCTGTAGTAACTCATCGCAAATGGGTAGAATTGTGCGTGTGCGTCTGCCAAATAAACGTTGGCTTGGGCTGGTTCCCATGTTGGTCGATGTTATGTTCCGTAACTCGAGCAGGGCCATTAGTGGGTCGCTACTATCCGCGCCGCATTTTTTGATAAGCTTCTTAGCCTGTTTCACTGCGCTTTCTGCTTTGCCAT